TGTATATAAATTATATCTTAATAAAGCTGGCAAAAGTAAAATAGTAGAAAGACATTTAAAGGTAGTAAGGCTTTAGAAGATGCTGTTCTTCTTAATGTCCACGGCAGTTTTTTCTACTATTATGAATGTATCATCCCTAAGTGAGAAATATGGAAGATGAATGGTAACGTACATTCAGTTTTGGTCTAAACAATGTGAAACAAATTATGGCTTTATAACAAATCACTAGTCACTGAAACTTAAAGCCTGGCTTTTTGTTGATACTAAATAAGGGTCAGAAAATAATAAATTATAATCATTTTATTTTGTGTGTGACTGAGTATGAAAGATCTTTGTGTGTTCATAGGTTTATTATGCGTATCATTTCACATGTAGACCAGGCAGCTCACGGAGAACTCAAACAGCAATCCTCTGTCACGTGCCAAATCTAGTCCCACAGCTGGTGTTTTAAAATTCAGAAAAAAGTGCAATTCACATCAATGACAAACTTTTTAGTCTACGTAAGTTACACTAACTTAATATATATCAGGCTACACAGGGTTCCTTTTTAAGATAGTATCTTTTAAAAGTACAGGCTCACAACCTTAAAAAAAAATTCACTCCCACTACCTTCAACCAACAATCCTGAATTAAATTTTTCAAACACCTTAAAATCTTAGCCAAAAGTATCTACTTGGTGTACACAAAATTTTCTATAAGCAGTAAATATATTTATGAAATATGAGTCCATATTTCAAATTCTTGCAAATTTTAACCAATTCAAAGATCTCAAAGAAACTTAACTTGAAGCCACCTGTCAAGAATGAAAAAGGGCTAAAGATTTTACTGTGCACTGAAAGGTACATGCAATCAATGAAATGGATATATATGTCTTCGAGCAATTAAGGATGAAAAAATAAAGCTACTCTAGCCAGCCATATTTAAAAGGCAGCATTATGCAAGTTAACATTTGATTAAAACCAAACAAGTTTATCTGACACCAAAGCATCTCCAAACTTTCACAGTAGTCACTTGCAAATTCTTTCTTATACAGATGCCTCAGTCCAAGCAGAAACTAGGCGTCACTATAGGAGATGCTAGGGTGAGGGATGGGGGCAAATATTATATTCCCAACCCTGCCTAATCATTATATAATTCCTTAGAGATATGATTTTCTGCTCTCCCCCATCCCTACCATCTCTCCCCCTTCTCCTGGGTTGAGAATCACTATACAAAAGTCAAATATCTAAAAAAAATACATTTGCAAATTAAACTAAACAATAAATCATTCAAGATACTAATAGAATTACTGAACTCAATCACCCAAATCATCCCTTCACATACTTACAATGTAGTATTGTGGAAGACGGGTAAGTTTAATGAACAGCTTATTCTTAGAAAGGTTTCCAATAGGATGGGTTGAATAATTGGACAGCTGTAATGTTTCACTGCTTATTGTAGGCAGGTGTTTTATAGATTGTTTGCAACGCTGTTGTCCAAGCCAAAACCTTAATTTAAAAGAGATAATCCACACCACAAAATTATAAGACTTGTCTGATTAGCTATGTGTTACTGATTTATAAATAGACTATTAGAAGAGCACTAAGAAACCAATTAATTTGAAATTTAACTGAACTAGTAAAACGACACATGACCATAATGATGAATCATTTCTCTAGTTTTGTAGTGGGTTGTTAGTTCTTTTTATTTTTTTTGGACTGTTAGTTCTAATTCTAGTTTAAGGAGTTTAAACTGCAGTGTGAATGGTCTGATTAGTTATAAGACAGAACTAACTAGTATTAAGGCTGAGACATTATATCAGTTTTTTACAGGAGATTAAAGATTTCCTATGGTTACAAGACAACACAAGCTAGTCTCAACATCCTTTATAAAATGCCTGAAGTGTTTATAAAATAAAATAGAATAATAAATAAGTATGAAAGTATCTCATTTTTCTGGTATCATAGGAGACATGTAGTCCCAGTTTTTATACTATGCATGTAAAGTGATGGGAATCCCTAATAGGTGCCAATGTTAACTACCTTCTTTCACTCTTTCCCAGTTAAGCCTCCAGATTTCACTTTGATGCTTCTATATAGAACCCCTCTCATTCCTTTTATTTGCTTATCTATCCTTGACACTAGGACACCATGTAATTATGTGAAAAGGGGATAAAATGATTGGCACACTAACTCTCACCGATCCACAATGAGACAACTCAGAAAATAAAAATATGAATTTAGAAGCTTTTCACAGCAACACAACAACGCCTCAACATTCAAGCTTATAATCACTAGGCTCGCCTTGCTGAACAGGGCATAGAACAGTTCAGGTGTTGTTGCATTTGTGTGATGAGCTTCCTGTGGTACAAAATGTGGACCAGTTGTGTGCAGTAAAACAATGTTTAATATAGAGCATTTTAAGGGCAGTTTGTAAACTATTACCCAAAAATGTATCAAATCTGGAAACATTTTTTTAACAATGAAAAACAAATTTAACTGCAACTTCAAAGGATCACTTGCTAGAACTGGCTATTCATAAAGGAACGAAGATAAATTTTCAAAATACACCAATACCTGCTTCATTTTGGATGATAGTCAAAAACGAATATTCTAAACTTGCTAAAATTGCTTTCCAATCTCTACTTCCAGTTGCGTCAACATACCTTTGTAAGACTGGTATCTCTACTATGTGTGTTATTTTAAAAAAAACATAGAAACAGTTAAAATATACCTTATCTTCCATGATTATCATCATCATCAATCCAATCTAGATTAGATCAGTTAAAAGAAACAAGTTCATTTATCACATTAAAAATTCTAAATATAAGATATTACAAATATATATAAATTATAAATAAAGAAATAATAAATACAAGATAATCTTTTCCAAGCATATATGGAATTGCTTTCCCACTTTTTTTTGTTATCACTTTGTGGAACAAAAAATTTAAGTGTAAGAATAAACATCTATATGTACACTTTTCATTTGTTTGTTTGAGGGGGTTGGCAATTGGGTTTATTCATTTATTTCTATTTGGAGGAGGTGCTGGGGATTGAACCTGGGACCTCATGCATGTCAAGCATGTGCTCTACCACTTGAGCTATACCCTCTCCCTTATATGTATACTTTCAATGAAAAATGTGTATTGATTTAAAAATTTTTTTACGTTGTTTGTTCTGATTTTATATATTGAAATGCAATTTTATGTCTCTTGACTCTAATGAAAAAATTGGAGCTTTTGAACATGCTTTTTCATTTCTTTTATAAGACTGTTTTCATTGCATATTATGAAAAAAGTAATCACACGAACAGATGCCCAACATCACCAGTCATTAGGGAAATGTAAATTAAAACCACAGTGAGATACCTCATCACACTCATTAGAATGGCTGTAGTTGAAGACAGTAACAAGCATTGACAAGGATGCAGAGAAATGGAAAACCTCATATACTGCTGACGTAACTGTCAAATGGCACAGCTACTCTGCAGACTAGTTTGGCAGCTTTTTTAGAAACTTAAACATAAGTTTATTGTATGATCCAGTGATTCCATTCCTAGTGGAATGAACATGTAAGTCCACATACACACTTGCACATGAATACTCATAGCAGCATTATTCATAAGAGTCAAAAGTGTAAACAATTCAAATGTCCAACAACTGATGAATGGATAAATAAAATGTGGCCTATCCCTACAATGGAATATTAGTCAGCCATAAAAAGGAATGGAGTACTGAAACACCTTACAACATGGATGAATCTCGAAACATTATGTTAAGTGAAAGAAGCCAGTCACAAAAGACCACATACTTTATGATTCCATTTACATGAAATGTTCAGAAAAGGAAAGTCTACAGAAACAGAAAGCAGATTCATAGTTGCCTGGGGCTGAGGCTGAGAATGGGGATTAGGTGTAAATGAGCATCTTTTTGAGGCAATGGAAATGTTCTAAGTGTTCTAAAACTGAATTGTGGTTATGGTTACAAAACTCAGTAAATTTACTGCAAGTCATCGAATTGTACACTTAAAACAGCTGAATTTTATATTATATAAATTACACTTCAATAAAATTATTAAAAAAAAAAGTCCCATGACAATTATCAATGAACTGGTCATTCACCAAAGATCATCTGAGAGGCACTACTATAAATGACAACCAGGGGACCTTTCTTACAAATAATGTGAGTTTAAGTACAGACACACATTTGATAAGTTTAAGGCTTTGGGGACTTGACTTTCTGGTTTTAGGTTATATTTCTACCAGCAGGAACTGCCAAACAACCTCAAGTTATGCAAGATGTGAATTATTAAGTATTTAAACCTTGTTGGTTTAGCCAAAATGCACAAAATGATGCTAAATCACTAAAATTTTTATTGTTACCCAGAGTAACGACTATCATTTTTCATATACAAACTAAACAGCTATTCAAAAGAAGGCTCATAGCATATCATCTATCTATTAGCATTAAAAATCATGTCCTGTTAATGAAAAAATTACTTGATTATGTTGAATTCTCCAGCTATTTACAAAACCAAAACTGGCAAAAGGAGGAGGGGTAGACTAGATGATCACAAAAGCAACAGATCCCACTGAACAGTCTAGCCCTTCACCCCGTCCTCCACCCTGCCATTCGCCAGTTCGGTTTTAATCTGATATTTATTTTTATCCCTTGGAATTCTGTTGTATTGAGTTAAAAAGAGAGTCTGTTCGAGTTGCCATAATGGTACCTTTGTGTACCAGGGTGGTAATGAAACCTCCTCGAATTATCTCTAGCTCCATTTTCAATTTTATTTAACAGTGTGAAGCATTCAAAGGATTTTGAAACAAACTGAATGACAGTATTAAAGAAGCAGAAATGACTATTCTGAAAGTGTCAGCTGGTAGATTCATACCATGAAGATTATCCTGGATAAGAATAGATAAGACTCTATTGCAAAGGACATTAGCTACAGTAAAATTCATTGTGTAAGTGACTTGTAGGGTGCTTGTACAGGAGAAAACATGGCAAACAATGAAAGCCTTTCATACCTATATTTGCCCTAGAGGGGAATTTGATAGGAAGCACTGCCATCATGGACCTATTCCAAGAGAATTTAGATTCTAAGTACCAAAAAGCACTCAAGTTTCATGTCACAAACATTAAGAATAGTGACTAATCAAGAGCAATAATGGAGAAGAAAATATATGCTGTCAAAATAAGTTTCCATTTTCAGTCCTGAGCTTAACAGACAAGCTTACTTCAGTTGTTGAATCCAAGGAATGATCCGTTTCATATCATCATTCACAGACTTCTCCATGTCATCCAGTGTGGACTGGTCTATGGAATAAAGCACTTCATTACATGAGACACAAAATATCTAGGTAGCCCAAAATTTAAATGGAAATTATTGTTTCAGTCAGAAAATAGTGTTATTTTTGAGTCAGAGGAAAACTAAACTAAATGCATATGAGGCATAAATAAACCTACTTTGTTTTCCCTCTTAAGAGTTATAGTTAAGATAATTAATAGCAAATGTACATTGGCAGGAAGAATAAGTAACAAAGAATAAGTTCCCAAAACTCTTAGTCTAGTTAATTAGTATTTTAAACTCATAAGGATTTAAAACTCATAGTATTACTAGACTTAGAACCTTAAAAATTGTAAAAACTATAAAACACCATTAAAATGTTTATTAAACACAAATGGTTTCTGGCATAAGGAAGAGCTGTTGGCTGAAGATTAGCTTGCTAAATGTCACTTAGAATTTTTAACAACACTAGAAAATGCTGACAATAGAATGCTGAGCAAAAAGCAAAATATAAAATGATTCAACAAAAGAAAAACGTATAGACAAAATTAGAAGAGCATTGCTATGGATTGAACTGTATCCCCCCAAATTCATATGCTGAAGCCCTAACTCTTAATGTGAGTTACTAATGTGAGTTTACTATCACTAATGTTTAGAGGTGGAGACTCTGGGAGATAATCAGGTTTAGATGAGGTTATGAGGGTGGGGCCCTCATAAAAGATTAGTGCCCTTACAAAGAAGAGACACCAGAGAGCTTGCTCTCTTCCTATCATATGAGGACACAGCAAGAAGGCTGATGACTCTCCAAGCCAGGAAGAAAGCCCTCACCATAACCCAACCATGCTGGCAACCTGATCTCAGACTTCCAACCTCTAGAACTGTGAGAAAATAAATTTCTGTTGTTTAAGCCACCCACTCTGGTTCTTTGTTATGGCAGCCTGAGCTAAGACAAGCATACGTTCCCCTAAAAACAATGACTGCCAACAGGTAACTATTTATTGCTTCTTCTCTCATTTTTAAATGTTTAGATTTTTTACTTATGAGTATGTATCATGTTAATCATCAAGAAAGCAGTCAAATAAGAAGTTCTGAAGAACAGACAATTGCCTAATGTGCCACTTATCACTTAGCCATCATAAATGTGATGTGATTCAAAGTAATGAGGCCACTTTTCCATGAGCAGTTCATAGAAAAATCTATCTTTATAGCTATAAAATATAGCCAAAAAGTCTTTTATTTTCATCTATACAGCTTAATATTAATTTCAAATGGCAAATGTGCTAATATATTCAGGAACACTGTTCCATTAGCAATACAAAAACATTGAGTTCCTAGTATTTCATCATTTCAGAACACCAACTTGGTAACAGAACATGTGAGAAATCAAACTTCAATTTCTACTATGTGTAAGCCAGAAAAAGAAAATTCTTTCCCACAAGATTTTGCACCCCAAGTCATCTGAGATGTTTATACTGTCATAAATTTGTTTTTCAGCCATGAATGACATTAGAATCCCTTGTCATCTCCATGTCACCCAGCTATTAACAGTATATATTTAATCTAAAAAAAAGACTCAGCCAACAACATTATTACTTTTACATAGTAATAGACAACATGAATGTACTTCATATTGCAAAGTTTAATTTCTGGTACAAGAGAATCTAAAGTAGAGTTAAAATGGGACCCAAGGAACAGACATTAGCCAGTCATTCCTTCCATATCTACTTTCTACATACGGTTTATACCACCCCGCCCAATACCTCAGGGTAAAAAATGTTTATTCTGCTTTTGTTAAAAATATTTTTCCTTACACTGTGATTATATCATTTAGTAACTTACCAAGTCCATAAAGCATCAACTGGAACATTCCAGAATGCAAATCTACAAAAATGTGTAGACACTCTGAATTACCACAGGGCTCCAAGATGGGAACAACAAGAGCTGGAAGTGCAGTCTCTATGAAAGCTGAACAGTTAAGAGTTATGTTACATTTCTATCTGAATATTTTCCCCAAAAAACCATATATATAGATTTCTCAGTGAGTAGAAACAAATCAAATACTGAATGATCCGGAATGCTGGAGGAAAAACTTAATTTTGCTAAACTGGAATAGTACTATTATGTCAATTAGTAGCTCAAAATGACAAATGTAATCTACAAGGTGACTTGAAACAAACATATCCATCTTAAATACTACAGCAAAAAAAAAAAAAACCCCCAAGATTCCCTTAAAAAAAGGTTAAAATAGCTAGTGAAAATTTAATTTCATCAGCTGAGCTGAGGTCTACTTTTACTGTCACTAAGTAGCTATTAATAAGCTAATTTTAATGATTTTTTTTGATATAATGGAAAGAAAATTAGTTGTCTGGTAAATAGAGTAAATTTCACTTATGGTCTAAATATTTTTAATGCCATTCTTCATAAAGAGAGGTTTTCTGGCAATTAGGGTCTGTGTAGTTTTAAACTATTTGAGAACTTACTGAACATTACTGATTACATAGGAAAAAATATTTCAAGTTATTTATGTACTTCACTTTCAAGTCAAGATGAAATAAGAACAGAGGCCACTACTAAACACAAATTCCCAAAGCTGCCAATATATTCGTTCCAGAGTTTCACAGTATTTCCACCAGGCCCAATTAATTTTCCCCTTAATCCCACAAGCTGGCATAACAAAGCCCAGTAAAGGAGCAAAGCACTGAGAGCACACCATATGCCGATCAGACTGAGGGGTGGTAAAGGGGTCTGCTCTTTGGGCTACCACATTCCTCTAAAGCTACAGCACAGAAGAAAGGCAGGCAGTGTGCAGAGTGGTAATGTAGGCCCAGCCTTTCACCAGGTGTGACTTTTCTGTGCTACTTTGCTACACAAGCACAATGACATCTTCTTGTCCATGTCATGGGTCCTTAGGAAGAAGCAGTGACAAGCTTGTAAAGGTGCTTTAAAAAGTAAAGTGCTCAATAATGTACATTATCTGTATTCCTCTATGAACCAAAGAAACAAACCAAAACCTCTTGTTATGATTTGCAATAATTAAAATGGGTGACGTTACTGCTGGTACTGTCTATACAAACAAATTAATAACGTAAAAAGATTGCAGGAAGTATATTTAATCAGATGAAAACAAATTGCTTTCAAGTATATCAAATACATATTTGCATACAAATGTTTAACATGTAGGTCCAGCAGAACTTTCACCTAAAACAAACAAAAATACAGAACAAAAGGGCACAAATAGGAATTTCTTTTCCAATATTTTATCATTCAGGCCAGTGTGACAAATTAGTTCAAAACATGTTTTGCTGAATTTATTATGTTAATAAAAAGTGCTTACAGATTTGAAGCAAGGGTTGCTGACTTTTAAAACATATTTGTACTGTTTTAATCCCTAATGGGATAGGAATGTATTCTTTAAAGTAAAACTATTTTTAAAGTGTAGCAATAGAGTAAAACTAATTCTGACAACTGGGATAACAATCATAATTTCAATCTAATTAACAAAATTGAATGTTTTTGAAAAGATAGAGCATCAAAAAAGAACATAGAGAAGACAGTTCAAAAGATAGGAAATACTTTGATGAGTATCTCTGAACATATTTTATGGCCACCAATGTCCACATTTTTCTTTACAGAAAATAAAATACATAAGGACCTAAGCATTTAAAGGCAAGAGGTTTTAATGAAGTGCATCCAGAATGAGGAACCTATGAAGGGAGAATTAAAGGCCATGCAAGATGACCGGGCTGCACACTCCTTTTTTTTTGCAGCAGGAATACATACATATCTCCTCTTTTATTTCTCCCTATCTATTTATTGAGGACAAGCTGAGAAATGGACCAACAGACAGTAATAAAAAGTGGGAAGACTGAACAGAAGCAACTAAGCCCAATTAGGAATGGTTGTACATGGTTCACAGCTTCCAAACTGACCTCAAGACCCCAAATCCGGCATGGACAGCACAATACAAGGGAGAGCACGATGGCTTCCTAGAGTCAGGCAATGCTACGAAGGGGCCACAGGGCAAGTTACCTTTCCTGTCTTGCACTGCCTTTTTTGAACTTCTCTCCAAGAGTCCTGCCTCCTCTCCCGAGACATTCCCATTCCCACCTCGCACCTTCAAGAAACCATACTGCCCTCCGGGCTGTCCAAAACCTGCTGTGTGCTGTCTGTGTGCACTCCCCTAGCCCTCCCTTGGAATGTGCCATTCTCCCAGCTACGCATTTCCCTGGCTTATTCCAGTGAGGAGTTGGAAGAAATGCCAGCTGACTAAGGTGGTTACACTAAGGGATTCCCAGAACAGGCCCTGGTCCCAGCAAAGGAACTGACAAAAGCATGCCTTCCCCTCACAAAAGGGATCAAGGAAGACTACATGAAGACTATAAATGCATGAAGATGAATTTAAAAAAACAGTTAAAGCATATGTCCTAAAAATGGTGGGTCAGCAGACCCTTTACCATAGCAACTCTCATCTCCAGAACTGTTCTGATTAAAGCAGGACCAAGGGGCCCAACTCCACATTCAAGAACCTACCTCTCCTTCAAATCATAGTCTCTGAAGCACACTTCTCTAACACTGAGATCTCCCAGGGCTTGAAAACCACTACTGCAGCACACTCCCACTAGAGTTAGGGGTCGAGGAAGAGCCTGAACTAACATCCTCAAACTACAGATGAGGAGAATAGGGCCCAAAGCATGTAAGTGACTTGTTCAAAAGCACAAGAGCAGCTGAACCCAGATCTTCTGGCTACTCAGCCAGTGACATCTCTACAAAATGCTCCTGAACAAAAATCTTTGCAACTTATGGAAACAGCACACAGAACTATTCCTATGTAAACACATGATTAAAGTCCATTTTTCAAAGCAATTTAAATATCCCGCAAGCAATCATACTGACTTTTTAAACTTACTAAGCCTTGTTTACAGATACTAAATTAAACCAGAGCCT